AGAGGCAAGAATGAGTAAGGATGTTCAGAATAAACTGTACTAGTAGTCAGACTCTGACGACATCAGTGCGTAAACATCCCTCATGCAGCTACTTTTCGCAGTTTCTCCTGGATGTCCTGCCTTTCTGCCCTTATGATCTTTCTTTTCCATGACCTGCCCTTACGATCTTTCTGCCGTCTGCTTGTTTGGTTGAAGAAGTAAGGCAAAGTCAGCCCTTGTATTTCCAGAATGAGGGATAATGTTCTCTCCCACCAAGTTCTAAGTTTGTTCAGGGAGGGGTACTTCGGAGTAAGGTCTGGTTTCTGTGCTCCTCATGATGTTACTGTGCTTGTTGAATTAGCTTGCTCTGCTTCCTCTGACTTTCTGGTTGGTTTGACCAGTTGTTATTCTGAGTGGTCACTGAAGTGAGACTATTAGTAAACATTTGACTTCTTTTTTAAAACTGATTTCTGGAGTAGCTTCCAAAATTCACAAAACGTTATGCTAAATGTAAGTGGTCATGAGGTGTTTTTTTTTTCTCCCAAAATGTAACCATACACCTATATATGGATAGTGCGAAAGAGTGTGTCTCTGTGTGTGTACAGATACATTTGTGTATTACATGCTGGATGTGAAAACGAGAGTAAGCCTGACCCTCCTGATGACAAAAGAGAGTTATGACATTTACTTCATTCAGGACAGGATTTCACCAATAGCCTCTGAAAAATGTTATTATTAAAAATGCCAGAAGCTTGGCATGTCAATTTTTAGACAATTCTGTGGGGGGAAAGTAGCCAAATAGCTGTTTATTTTTTTCTAATTCAATTTTGAAAGAGTGTGATAGATCTGAGTTGGGATGCTACAACTGGTTCCAAAATTAGATGCCTAGTTCTTATTTGTGAAGTAATTTTTCTGCTTCAGACTCTATCTGTAAATAAAGCAGAAATAGGTTAAAATAGTCACTAAAGGATATTAAAATATTTGACAAACGCTTTTTTAAAAAAATACTCTATAATACTGTGGCTTTAAATATCTTCTGCAAAATGTAAAAAGATTACCTCCATCACTTTTAGGGGTAAAAAATATAGCACATACTATCATCATGTGTTTTTTCTTAGGTGAATACTGAACTGAAAATACTTGACATGAGAAGTATTTAGACATTTACCAGATCACAGCTCCCTCTTGTGTAATTCATCATTACTACAGAAAGCTAAATTAGAGGTTGCTTAAACTAAATTCTATGATACCTAATTATTTTACTAATTTACTTTTACTTTCTTATCAGTGATATTTTAGGTTTTGGAATTTCACAGTTTCATGCAATTTCAATGCTAGGACAGATAATACTACTTACAGCAATGCTGCAGTAAAACTACATTTAGATGAGTATTACTTTTGCTCAATGACATGATTTTGATGTCAATAATCAAAATCCTGGAGTTTTACTGGAGATACCTAATCTGGTATTTATTATATTGCTGCTAGGTCTTTCTTCCACATAACTGTCTAGGGGCTTTTTCTGTTTATATTTTGGTGACTTCTGGAAAAACTCCAGCTATTCTTTAGTTTTATTCCCTAGTTTTTGTGTCTATAGGTGTTCAGAGCACCATAACGTCGTTATTACCATTCTGTGTCTAAGCTTTAACTTCTTTTCTATTCTCTTTCTCTTAGTGAGGTAAGACTCACCTTAGAACTAGTACCAGAATATGTATAAACGAAAAGCTGGAAAGCTTATTTTTGCTACAGTACTTATTTTTGACTCTACACAGAAGGATTGCATTTCCATTAATCTGACTCTTATTAAGAGTTACCTTTGGAATAGAAACTTTAAAAAAAAAAAACCCAAACATAACACAAAACCCCAAATGACCCTCTTGGGGAAGCTTATGAGAACATAGTATGGAGATATGCAAACCCAAATTTAAAGTACAAACTATTAGCACCAGGTTTGTTTAACAGCCACTTAAAACTGTTGAACTGTGGGTTTGTCCACAGAAACTGAATCATCTTAACTGGATCTGCACAGACTAAAGCTATTGTGGGAGAAAGTAACGTCACTGACTAAAGCAGGTGTGAAGATCTTTAATCTTTCTTTTAATTCCAAGAGACACCACCATTGTAATCAAGTAAGGTTGACACCATTTATTCATTCCTCCTTGAAGAATTCAGCTTAGTCAGAAAACTGCGGTGGTTTACTATTTTAAATTGAAATTTATTTTCGAAGAAGCAAACAAACACTTATTTTCCACTAAGAAACCAACCCCAACCCAAACATGGTAACACTGGCCTAAAATTGCTGGGGTTGAGAGGAAGGAAATGTGGTTTTCGTGTTGGAGAACACTCCGGCTTGCCGCGCCCCTTGCTCTACCCGAGACCCGACAGCCCCGCGGCCGCCACAGAAACTCCGCCGTGGAGGCCTACAGGGAGGGCCTTTAGGTAGCCAGCGCGATCGCCGGACGGCGGCGCGCGGCGCCCTGGGAGCCGAGGACGGCTGAGAGGCGGCGCAGGAGCAGGCGCGGCCGGGGCAGCCCCGGCTGGCCGTTGG